AGAAATATAATAATCTGTCTCGTGGACAATAATTATAATGATATATGAACACATTCGCACCATATATACAGAAAATATAAAAGTAACAAAAGTAAAATGATAACTAAAAAATAATAAAAAAAACTATGAACAATAAAAAATAAAATAACCTAATAAAATAACAAGTAAATTAAAAACATAAAAACACAGTAATACCTATATACAATCAGGCAGGGAACCCCAAGCCAGGATTCTCCCTCCAACTATAAAAGGAAAAGCAGGACTCTATGAGATCCCAGCGCTACTGTCTCAACCGCGACATTGGTGCTAAAGCCAGTAATTTCATATTAAACTACACGGACTTATTAACGACAAGTTCACGGCTGACATGCCCATCAAGGGAGGACAGAAGAGGAGCTGGATGAGAGATCTCCTTTTCTAAATTAAGGAAGAGAATCAAGACCAGAAAGAGGTGCTGCTGGGTACTACTGTTCCTCCTCATGTATAAAATGCCATTTTTCTTAACAATAACAACACATGTGCTTATTGTCAGGCTTATGACCAGTGTGGATGAAGATATGAAGAAAAAAATAAAATAGGTTTATTAAATGAGATCGGAACAGTAAATAAGCTTATATCCCAGTAGTTAAGAATGTCCCAGACAATTACCATGTTTTTTGTCGCAATGAACAGCTTTAACTGAAGTATTAAATAAAAGTTCTCAAATAACATTTATCGAAAAATTCCATGAAATTTTTTCTTCCATATTCCATGAAAAAGTTCTAGTTCCAATATAACAGAACAGTAATCGAAAATAAAAATGTTGGTCAAACCGAAACTGATAAAGAATAAAAGTTAACTTTTCATTTCTAGCCCTGCCTCGATCTGTTTTCTTGAAATCGAGATAAACGTGGAGAATAAGGTCTTTGACAAAAGGCAAGCAGAAGAAAAGTGGCGACAAATATATTGCTATCTAGTTCCTTTTATCTGTTATATTGTTAGACCCTTTCATAGAGCTCTCATATACAAAGATAATCCTGGACAAACACCAATAAAACAGATATTGCTTTTATCATTACTAGAATTCAGTCCACATCTAGCATTCGAGCCTCAAGTGTCCATGGAAAGAAAGGAGAATTGTAAGTTAAACTATCATTATTACATTACTTTATTTTACTTTGAGTAAGGTATAAAGGTGCGTTTAGACATTTCACAAACTATGGGACAAACAAATATATAAATGGATATTTCAGTATGCTAGTATTTTCTATTTTATTTTTTTTATATTTTCCATCTGAGTCATTCTTATGTTATTTGACCATTTAGCAATTCAGGTAAAAAAAAAACATCAACTGTTTGAAGAAAAATATACCTTAAATATTAGTATAAATGACCTAGATAATAAACTTGAGCTTCGATAGTCAGTTTTCTTTTTTATCATTTTTTTAAAATCATAACTTAATTAATATTTAAAGCTTATTAAAGCGAGGATGTTTTTCTTCAAACAGTTTAAATAAACAAACTTTATTACTGTATTACAAAGATATAATGGCTAAGAATATAATAAAGATACCATAAATATTTCAAGTCAACACGAGAAAAATTAAAAAAAAAGATGATTTCGTTTCTTTCATCAATTCATATAAGAAAAAACAACTTAAATGCTCCTCCTGTTCACTTAATATTTATAATAAAAATACTGATATGATCAATTTGTAGAAGGAACGATAAAAATAAATATTATTAAATATATACGAATATTTGTAACATTCGTTTAGTTTTCATACAAAATCGCTGTTACTGATTTAACTAAATGTTGGATAGATATGAAACCTCAACCTTAAATAAATGCCTCAAAACTATCTATTTTCATATTATCATCCATTATGTTAATTGAACAATTTTAAATAAAATTGTGGTAACCTTGGTTACGCATCATTGTAGTGACATAGCTAATTTTAGAAGGAAAAATGTATAGCCTCCAGCCAGCTCTTTTAGGACTCAAGATTACACATGGACTCATAGCTGGCACCACAAACAGATTTTTTAAAACCATTTTACGTCGTATTAAATTTTAAGATTTTATAAGAAAAGCCGGTATTCGTATTCGTTACAACGTTTTTCTCCAAATTTTGTGAATAAGCCGATTTTCATACTTCAGGATTTAAGTATTTGAGAAAACTAAAAAAGGTATCTATAATTCGAAATACCATCATATAACAGTAAAAATTAAAGGGTACAGATTATGGCATATCAAAGGATGAAGAACTTGGCATCCTCACCTTGGGGAGAGTAACATTCGTTTTTTTTACATTCACATTGAGATATTACTTCTTATGAATGAGATAGATTTATTTTAATGTCATCATTTCATTCTTTAGAAACACAATGACTTTTTTAAAAAAAGCCTGAAAAAAAGTGAAAACGAAAATACGAAAAACGAAAAAAGCCTGAAAATTAAAGCACGGGGACATTAAATGGTTAAATAATATAGAAATGAGCCATCTGCTGTAGAAGAAGTTTGGCTAAGAAAAATAAGTTTGGCTTGGCGATAAAGTCGCTGTTAGATAAAAGTTTCCTGTGGTTTGTGAAATGTCTAAACGCACATTAAAATTTAAATGTAACAAGTATAGCCCAATAATATCCCTCTCCCTAATGCATTCGACGTGTAAGCTACGTCAATGAAATTTGTTTATTCGTATACACAATATTACCAAAATAGTCTAATCTACACACAAAGTTGGTGAAACTACCTTTTTATTCCATGCAATGGCGGATCTACGGGAGTTAGAGGGTCTTTGGGGCTGAAGCCTTTCCTCACTCCCTCCCTCCTCCAAAACATTGAAAAAATAATAATTTTTTTTCATGCACCCTCGTTTGTTTATACAAGTAATCTAATGTAAATACTTAAACAATCACAACATATTCTCTTTTTAAATAATAATGCATATATGTCATCTGTATATAAGGGGGGTTACGGACATGGGGTCACCGACATCAATGAAACTTTTGGCGATACTAGGTCAAAAAATATTAGACCCATGTCCGAGGATCCAATGCGCTCAAGTAGCCGAGGAAAAAATAAATTATTTATTTTTTTGGACTTTGGTCTGCAGGGATTTCTATGTATGTCGATCGATTTGTTTTTTGTATATTTTTTGAAAAATATATTGTTATTTATTTTAAACAAATTCTAATATATAATAAATCATAGATACCCAAAGACGCTTTCAGAAAAGTAGACCAAGTAAATTTCTGCCACGAAAAAATTATTTGGATTCGTTTTTGGCGTCCACTTAAACTCTTAAACACTAAATTAAATACTCTTAAACACTAAATACATTTTAATAATTATAAATTTTCACATATATTCAAAATGGCTATATTCGTGTTTATTATTATTTATTCGTTTTAATAATATTAATAACCAATTAAGTAACAGAAAACAGAAAAAGTAATGCTCATCAGTGTATCGCATCCATGGGTTAGTTACTTATGTCCGTAACATATAAATGGTTTCAATTTCTGGTTCAAATAGGTTTCTTTTGCAAATAGATAACCAACTGTCTTGAAATTAAAAAAAATTTTTTTTAAATATTTGCATTGTTTACAACAAGATTTTTAATGCTGCTAAAGTATTGCTTCAGGGAATGATTATCAGCGTAGGTGTTGAAAAAATATTTTCATATTAATTAGAAGTGACTATATTTGTAAAGAAGTAAGCATTTCAAGCTGAAAAATTAAGCAGCTCATAAATAATTTTAAATTATAAATAAATTAATCTATTTTAAATTATAACCGCTGTATAAACCTAAATATATACCACGTATAAAACTTATAAATATATAAAGTACAAATAATTATATGACCATATTATAATCTTTTTTATTATTCACTATATATGCATTACATGTTAGTTACATAATCGTTAGTGACTTGTTAAAGTATAGACATCAATAAATGTTCTACGTGATAATTTTTTTATTTAATTCCAAGATAGTTTTATTTAACAATTTTTTCAAATATTTTTCCTGGCTTATTTTTCAATTCAATATTATTTTTTACGCAATAATATTCTTTATACTATTAAAAACATGGATTAAAAATAATCTATAATCACCGAAAGTTAATAATAATTTACGACTGTTATTTTTCAACATTTATTTACTTGATTGCTAACTTAACAGTCTTGTAGAGTGTCTGTTACTTCGCGTTGATAGAAATGAGCCTAAATCTCATTATAATTTTGTCAGCCTTTCAGTTTAATATTCAAAATATTATTATTTTTCTAAATATCTTTACAATAATTAATTTTAATAATAAACAGAAAGTATATATTAGATTTATTATAAAAAGTCATTACGTTACATTTCATAACCTCATAATTTTTATGATTATTTTCTCAATATAATCAGATCATTGTGCACTTATATTTTTGACCTTTTTTGAAAAGTATAAGGGTCATTTGGATTGATATCGAAGGCAACATGCCGTGTCGATAAATGAGGTCGAAATTCATAAAAACATAATAAAAACTTTAGCTTCATCAAAAATGTACTCTGTGACATTTGAAATATATCAAGATAATATACAATAAAATATACATATATACAATAGATAATTTCTGTTTTAATTTCTATTTGGTATATCAGAGCAAACATCAAAATTACGTGAAATCATTATAAGGGATGTCCAACAAATCTATCTTCTTTATCTTCACCTGGATATGGAAAAACCCGACATGCGTGTGAAAAGATAACAAAAATGGATTTGTGAGTGTTTTTAAATTACACGCCTCTATTAGTAGAAAAAAATATTGATCCGATATAATTTTGTAACGAATTATGACAGGGAAGGATATGCCAGTGAGCATATTGGCAAGGACTATACAATCGACCGTTTCACAATTGTGACAACGTCGTAACGTCACCATCTTCGTAATCGAAAATTAGGAAGTCTAATGAATTATTCACGAGGAGCTTTTGGTGTTGGAGCCCATTGTTCTTAGTAGACGCTAAAGGATGACCGGAGTGGCCATGTGCCTCTGGCTTCCAGTCGCGACCTCCTTCATCTTCCCAGTAGACCACGAACACTCCTTCGATGACCACCTCTTAGTCAGCACTGCATCGTCCCTGAAGGGGCATCTGGGGTCTGTGTTGGTTACCTTGAGCGGCACCCGAGATCATCAGCCGGGTACAATTAAGTACCTTCAAGAGGCACTTGGACCAATACAGATCTCCAGCCTGGGCGGTCTCTCCTCAAAGCTCACCATTTGTCTGATTCAGGGCTCGTGGGAAACCCTTATAACGCTCAACAACATCTTTTGGAACACTGAATATTATTACTTACTGAACTTCATTGACGGCAAACAAGAGATCGATGATATTTTCTACCATCTTTGGGACACTCATCGAGTTTACAGAGTATTTATTGTTTCCCAAAAAACCTACACGATTAAAAGCTTCGATCCTGTACTCAGAATAATACACAAGGCACCTATAGAGGTTTTTATAAATACTAACTCGTTGAATCAAAGATTTCCGGATTGGAATATGACCGATTTCTACGCAGTATACGCTGGATTGTATGCCGACAAGCTGAGAGAATCTCGTAGTTTTCTAGTTGACAGGCTTACCCTGGAAGCTTTAACAGAGCGCTTGAACATGCGATTGAAAATAAAAAACACAACTGACGATTCAATCAAGTTCGGAATTAGGAGTGAAAACGGGTCCTTCTACGGCACGTTCAAAGAACTCGTGACCTACACGGCGAACATGACTGCTCAAGCTCACTTCATCAAAATACACAACATTTTGGACAGTCTGACTTATTCAGTACCCGCACGAGCGGATAAAATCTGCATTGCTGTTCCAAGGTCAGAGCGAATTCCTCGATTTGTCGAGAGCTTCAACTCTGTCAACGTCACAGTCTGGCTTTCGATAGTGCTCATATACCTGATCACGATGATAACATTGAGTTGTTTTAGGTTTTTCTTTTATAGAGTGAACCGCCGAGTGATTTACGAGACAAGCCTGCCGCTCACAATGTTCGGTATTTGCCTTGGCCTACCTGTGGACTATATGCCAAGATTGCATTTTGAGAAATTGGTATTGAGCTCCATCTTGTTGGTCAGTTTGGTGGTTGTGAGCGTCATGCAAAGTACACTTAACGCTATACTCAGCACACCACCCTCCTTCTACAAGTTCCCGAACAATAAAGACGAATTCAACGAACAGATGGTGAACGTTTGGACATCCTCCAAGGATTTGATTGACTCTTACGTCGCAGCAGGTTACACAGGAGTGAAGTTTCATCTGAAGACGGCAGCGGAGCAGAAGAAGGATTTTCATACTATAATCTATAAAGGAGGAATACTTGAGAAGATGGCAGCTTTTTTACGGGCCAAGGAGTTGGAGTTCAAATTTGTCAAGTTGCAAATGACTGAAGCCTGCCCGGTGCAGCACAACATAGCCTACCTGTACCCCAAGGGATCGCCTTTCGAGGAGCCCATTAACAGGATACTGTCCGGGCTGGTCGAGTCCGGTGTAATGTTGAAGTGGGATAGATCCGTTTACCAGTTCTCGAACAGAACAATGCAGTTTGTCGGAAAGGTTCGAGAGGTGGTAGAGCTGAACCCACTGAGTCTAGAAGACCTTGGGACTCCGTTATACTTCAGCTGCTGGGGATTCGTCGTGGCTATTCTTGTGTTCATCTTCGAGAAATTAATCCATGGATCTATGAAGAAGTTAAGGACTGATCACTGTGATTAAAAACGTCTAGTTTCCATATTGTTCATAAGAATATGTTATTTGAGCGTGGAATATAATTCTCACTTATAATCCAGTGCGTTGTGTAATTTATATTCTAAGCATATTATAATCTATTAGTATTGGAAGACCTTGAATATACGGGGGAATGGCCAGTAGAGCTTTATCATTGTGCATTGGAAAAAGAACAGTTTAATCAATGAATTCGGGCCTCTTCAGAGGTTTTCTCTCAATCGATCATTTTGCTTAAGAAGTTTACATTGTCCCTGTCAACTGAATTGCTAACGTACAATTAATCGATGAATTAAGTTTTCGATTGCCACTTGAGATATAATGACAATGTTTACTTCTACTGTTAGTTTTTTCTTCAGCTTATCGGAGCACAATCAATGCAGACAGATAGTGTAATGATTCATTAAGAATTTTTATTGTCTATGAAAAATCCAAACTTTTATCATTTTCCTATTTGTAACAGCTGAATTACACGAAATAAATTTTTGTGTTTTCAGAAATAGTATAGCTTTGTATGGTATTGATGTCTTTTTAGAATGGGTGTGTTCACTAGACCTACAACAAACGATCGATTTTTTTTTTTTAGTCGGTGTTGATAGATGTATGTTTGAAACACCATAATGTTTAATTAGTGGATTGAAATGGTTAGAAAATTAGCGAAATGTGTGTGAGTAATTTACTGATTGTGTATATTTAAACAAATTAATAAATTCTAATGTTTTCATTCTTGTCTTATTTATATTCATTTATAATTTGTGCCAATGTAATAAAAACATCTATTTTACAACAATAGTATAGATAAAACATGGAAATGAGAAGTCAAAGCTAAAAGCTTAATAGGCTGCACTGGTGGATCCAGGATTTAATTTTGGGGGGGAGCTTCAGTCCGAAATCTTTTGTTTTTTATATTTATAATGATAATTAATTTGGAAGAAAAAGAAAACAAACTAACTACCTATATGGAATGGTGTTTAAGTGATTCTTAAACTCCTATTAAATGTAATTACACGAACAATAATACTTTAAGAAGTTAATTTTTAATATTCTTTTTCATAAGGCATGGTTATATTTTACCATTTTGGGGGGACTTCAGACCGAAACCCTCCTTCCCTCCTCCACCCCTCTGTTTTTCAATTTACTTCCTCGTCTGCTTGAGCTATGAGAAGTATATCATTTAGTAAAACAAAATATTGTATTTTTCTTATCAATCTGGAAAAAAAATTATTTTTACTTTCGACTTCCCCTTTTTAAGTGCCCCTTTCTTTTTATAAAACATCGATAATGAAAATTGATATTATTTATTCATTAGAACTGAGTCCTTTTAAAAAATTAATAATTTCAATTATATTTAGTATTTTATTTTTTTGTTAATTGACCACTATTTGAAAGAAGGATGGCCAATTGGAAGACCCAAACTGCGTTGGGTTGATGATATGGTGACTAATGCAAAATTCATTCTTCATATTCGAGCCTGAAAATAGGCTAATCTGAACAAAAATGATCAACGACTGATGTTACATGATTGATGCTACAACCCCACGAGGGTTGTAGCTCCAAAGAAGAAAATGAAGAAAAAGAAACGACCACATAAGATCACATTCCAATTTCATTTTTTCTTTGTATGAAGTATCCTCTTTCTCCAGTACTCTTTTATAAGGACACAGTGCTTCTGCTGTTGGATCTTTCTATGTTACTTTTTCCTTGATCTATCGTCATTGTCTTCTTGTTCCACGGGTAGTCGAATACCCTTTTTGTTATTTTTTTTTTTTTAAATTTGCTCATACTATGCGAGTGTCCGAGAAATGATAGATAAGAGAGAATGATTTTCTCCTCATTTTTGTATATTTCATTTTTGTTCGATGTTTACTGTAGATTTCAAACTGGATTGGATCCCCGACGTTCCATTGCATTTTTCTTTCTATTATCTCCACCAATTACAACTTGTAGTCAACTGTCGGAATTTACAGAAATACTGGTTTTACAATAGTTATTCGGTAGTTTTATTTTTTTTTAAACTTTTTTAGACCAATTAAGAACAGATATAAGTTTAGGGAGCCAACGATTTGATTATGAATGGATATTAAATTAATGTTATAATGTTACAAAAAATAATTTGTATCTTAAATAAATATGGTTTCATTCATGCTTATACCATTTTTCTGATTTTTTTTTTTTAATTTCAGTAATTAATTTTATTGATAATTTTTCTTTTTTCCATTAATTTTTTTCACAAGAATTTGACGTACATAATATTGTGAATAGAGATGAAATATTCAAATGGATATAAATAATTAAATTATTATAAACATAAAAACATAATTATTCATTATAAATATTCAGTATGAACCATTGAATTATGCCGATGGTTTTTCTTGTATTTTTCATAATAAAAAAAAACTACTTTACAAAATTTTCAAGGAGTTATTGTAAAAATCTTCATGGAATACTTATTTTGTTATTTGGAAAACGACCGAAAATTTGTAGATCCATTTTATAGAAGGATCATCAAATACTTAAAGAAATAATAATTTTTATTGTTTTTTAGTCTTTGCTAGGAAGATTTATTTATACGATTTTTCAAAGTACAAGTTTATGCTTTTAAAAAAAGTAGCTTCTTTTGTTTTTAGTTAATTCGGAATAACTGCTGTAGGTACTCTTACCAGGACAAGGTTGCTTAAAAAGTTTAAAGGCTGATTGTTTAATAAGTTACCAAGCTAGAGTGAGAAGCTAGCTAGTAGCTACTTAAAATATAAGTTAAAATTATATGTAATAAATAATAGAAATATGTACATATAATATAAATATGTATTTACAGATAATTAAAAAATTCAGTAAGGATCAAAGTTTACATATCTATGGCCAGTAGCGGATCCAGTATTTAACTTTGGTGGCTTGGTGTTTTGTTTTTTTTTTTTCAATAATAAAAATAATTACATACAAGAAAAAGAAAGAAATAATATTTAAGTGGTCGTTTAAAACACGTCAAAACAAAAAAAAAATGTTATTTACAGTAATTATGAGATTAATTGTTTTTTATTATTTACGAAAGTCCTCCGAAATGGGACATTTTCAATCTGGAAATTAGCAAATTTTGTCTGTTTAATGTCATTAAAAAAAACTCATGATCTTTCTTTTGCTTTCCACTTGAAACATAAATTAATAATCCCAAAGTCGAGAACAAATGTAGCCAATAAAAATATTGAACCGTTTGGCTTCCACTTCCATGTTAAAATAACGAGGTTATTTAAGCCAAACGGTCCAATATTTTTCAAGACCACCTTTTTTTCTCGATTTTGTGATCAAATGATCTTAGGATTTAAGTGGAAAGCGAATGGGTATTTATAAGATTTTAATACCTCATTGAATTAATTAATTTATTAACAAAATAATCCATTACTGAGAATTTTCGTAGACAAAAGAATTATTTATGAACTAGTTGGCCAGTGCGAATAATTCGCAGAAAATTTTGTTAAGTGAAGAAATAGCAAAACAATATGGAAATAATTAGTTCCAATGTATTATGTAAAGAAGGAATTAATATTTTTTACTTGTTCGATTACAATATTCCATTTAACATAATAGACTAAAATATTTGTACAAATTGCTTTGCTTTTTTTTTTAACGCTTTTTATTTTTAAACGCTGACTGGAAAGATAATAAAAGTAATAAAGACAAAATAATGCCCCGATCAAGAGATTTTCTAAATTATTAAAATAAAACAAATGCTTTTAAGAAATAATAAAGTTAATATATCAGCCAGAAAAATAGGAAAAAAAGTGTAGTGGACTATTCTACTCTACAATATCTTTAAAGAGATATACATTATTAGGTATACCTAAACTAATGGACTGTATTTTTACAATTTTTTTTTGTAGGTAATTTAGTAACATTTCATGGGTACAATCAAGTAAAAAATGCATACTTTATTCGCAAATAAAATTTCTTTTCCTTCATAATAGAAATTTCGGGAGGATAGGACTATTTTTCGCATGTGAAGGAGAAGAATATCTTCAAAATGAGTGTCCAATCATTGGCTTTGATGAAGAATTGACGGAGTTATGGCGTACTGACAAAAAAAAAACACCTTTTAGAAATAATATATAAGATTATGTTAATTTAGAGGTAGTGATAAGATTCACGAAGTTTTAGATGGATGTTAATATTTTGATAAAAAAGGGGATTTGTACCGCGTACTATTTAGCAAATATGTACATATTTTGATTCTTAACGATTTATTTATATTATATCACACATCAATAGAAAAAAAAATTAAATTAAGGAGGCTTAAGCACGAAAACCACTACGGGAATCCGGCAGTGGCTGATTACATACTAAGTATGACTACATTAATATTCCATATCCTAATGCTATTCGTTGGACGTGCGATGCTGTTCCTCCGGTCCTAAGGTCCATTGCTGCCATTGATTTCACCAAAGGACGAATTCCTTAGAAGATTGCTCGAAGGCAGAGACCTCAAGAGAGGACGTACGCTGAAGAGGTATTAGTGTGTTACTGGGTCAGGAATGCGTGCGTGCCGGTGACCAACACCTGTATCCAAGGTGAGCTCTCTGAACACGTCTTCCTATCTTCAGATCTTCAGGGGTAATGTCAAGAGAATGAGGAAGAGAGAATATAAAATATTTTCCTTTTTATATTTATTTTAATGTGTCCATATCATAAACAACCAGGTTTTTCATCAATATTTCTAATTTAAAAAAAACACTGAGTTGAGTGATTTAGACCACGCTACAGAATTGAAAACATCAACAAGGCGAGATTAATAATATGAATTATAAATTATAATTAACAGCTCATTATTAAGAGGATGAAATGCTGAAAAATTCCATCGCTTACAGTACGCAGGTCCGATTTTTAGTTTCTGAGACATTTTAATCCATATCTTCAATAAAACTCGTTATCATTTGATTGTCGATGCTATTTTTTTCCTTTTTGCCCCTTTAATGTGGTATCGCGTTAAGATTCAAAGAGGA